CTAAAGATAAGAAGAGAACGAGATGCGATCAAGGTCAAGGAGTAGCTACAGCAGCTGGTTTATTATCCATGAAAGAATCCAAAGCACAACCATGTTTGTTCTGTGGAGAGAAACATGATAGTTCGAGTTGTGAAAAGGCGAAAGGCATGGATATGGACGAGAGATCTAAGATCGTTAAAGAAAAAAATGGCTGTTTCAGATGTCTAAAGGTAGGACAAAGCTATAAGAAATTTTACAGCAAAGAAAAATGTCCCTGGTGCAGTAAAGGACACTGCCTTTTGATGTGCCGAAATCTTTCGAGCAATAGCCAGAAATCGGTTGATGAGAAGCCCAACGGTTCAAAATTCAACGAGGGAAATAGTTGTTTGGCTAATGTTTCAAGTGCCAAAATATTTTTACCTATACTGAAGATCAGGATGCGTGGACCGAGAAAAAGTGTATCTGTTCGTGCCATTATAGATACAGGCTCACACAGATCCTACATTTTGAAGAGGTTAGCAAGGGATCTAGGATACGAAGCAGAAGGTGAGCAAACGATGGTACATTTACTTTTTGGAGGAACGAAGACTAAGCCTCAAAAACACAAAAGCTATCGGATCCACATTGGTAACTTGGAAGGAACGTATAAGTGTGATTTTATAGCCTTACAACAAGACACTATTTGCCAAGATGTTCCCAACATAGGCACTGGCTTGTGGACGGAGGCGCTTAAAGAGAAGAATGTCCATCTAAGCGACACCGGTGAAACCAGAGAGTCTATTTCTTTGTTGATAGGAGCGGACGTTGTGGGCAAGCTATTTACAGGCAAAATCATACAACTGAACCAAGGAGCGACAGCTATCGAGACGAAGCTTGGATGGACGATTTTAGGCAGAAATTCAGAAGAAAGTAGTGACACAGACACTACGCTGATGGTCGTCTCCATGTTTTCTCAAGAGGCCAGCGTGTCAGATTTATGGAAACTAGACACGTTAGGAATTACTGACCCGATCGAGAGCATAAGTAAAGAGGCACGACAAGAAGAAATTAAGGCATTGCTTCAAGAGACAACAAAGATTACCGAAAAAGGACATTTCGATGTCATCTTGCCCTGGAAGGATAATCATCCGCCCTTGCAAGATAACCGGGACATGGCTAAAAGAAGATTGGATGTCGTCACGAAGAAATTGAAACAAGAAAACTTATTCGACGATTACAATACAATCTTCAGCAACTGGCTCGAGGAGGGTATTATAGAAAAAGTACCTGTGCATGAAGTTGACAGAGAGAGTTACTACCTTCCGCCAGTTGTCAAGAGAGGAGGAACCACTAGGATTCGACCCGTTTTCGATGCCTCGGCCAAGAAGAAGGATACGCCGTCGCTCAACCAGTGTTTAGAAACGGGATCCAATCTTATTGAGCTTGTTCCAGCATTGCTGCATCGATTCAGAGAAAAGAGGATAGGAGTAACAATAGATATTGCTAAAGCCTTTTTACAAATTAGCGTTTCCCCATCAGATAGAGATGTCCTAAGGTTTTTGTGGTGGCATACTAACGGCGAAATCGAGACTTATCGTCGGGTTGTTTTCGGAATAACTAGCAGCCCTTTCCTTCTAGGAGCCACCAAAATTACTCATTGAGAATACGTTAAATTCTACTGTTTCGACACACGAGAAATTAATTTACAAGAAATTGCTAAGATCCTTTTACGTTGACGATTGCATCACCAGTGTCGATTCTTACGAGGACTTCGAGATTTTTCAGAGAGAAGCAAGTT